CAGAAAGGATACAAAATAAATACATAGAGGAGGAGGATCATATTCACTCTAACTCAACTTTCAGCTCACACACACTGCTGCATATAGCAGCAGTGTTACTGCTCATGGCAGCGACTCTTCTTTTTCTTTTCTTCTCTTCACTCTCTACATGCTCTTATATTTTTGCTCTCAAATAATGCTTCTATTTATAGATATCAATGATGAGACAAGATTCACAAATCATGGCATGATTGGTGGCAACACATGGGTTGCAACATTTTTCTTTTCTTCTCTTCACTCTCTACATGCTCTTATATTTTTGCTCTTAAATAATGCTTTTATTTATAGACATCAATGATGAGATAAGATTCATAAATCGTGGCATAATTGGTGGCAACACATGGGTTGCAACTTTTTTGTCAATAAATGATGTAACTATCATTATAATCTTTTGACAATAATAACTCTATTTTTTAAGGTAAACTACACATGCTCTATCGTTATTGCACGTTAATGGCAACAATCCTATCATTACCGGAACTAGCAAGGAGCCTCCATGCTGTCGTTGGAAATTAAACAGAGAATAAGATGAACTGCAGACACAAATGCACTGAAGGGTATGCATCTTTCTATTTTCCCTCTTCAGATATTATAGAGTGGGAGTTGTACAGCAGCAGTAGCTTGAGTTGGCTTCAGCATTAGGAAGCCATTGTTAAACATGCGTGTTCTTTTTCCTGTTTTGAGGAATAAGGGCAGGTCTCAAGCCTGTGACCTCTCTCCTCCCTCCTTCTGTGCATTGAAATGGATGTTTATGGATACTTTGTCATTTATAAATTGGCAGGGATTTGGTTGATCCAATGAGATGTTCAATAAGTTCTGGTGCTGGTCTCGAGAGTAGTAATCCTTAAACGATCCTGCACAACTGCTGTCACAACCATTAGCTTCACTTGTTATCAGGGATGAATCAGAAGCACCAGCAACAACTAGTAGGTATGCAACACTAAAGCTATGAATAATTTGTTTCACAATAGAAAGGTCAAATTTTATGTTGTCTTAGCTTCGACCTACCACTCTATCAGTAGTATTCTTCGAATCACCAATTCTTGTATGATGTTCATGAGTATCAGACAGCCCTGGAGGTCTAAGAAAGATGGATTTAGCAGTGGAACAAGGGGATCAAAACCTAGGTGGTCAAGGCCAAATAATAATTAATGTGGTAAGGACATCTTTAGTACTCTTGTTAAAATATTTTTGGAATAATCTCCCTTGCTCTAATGTATGAAAACAAAAATTAAGATGAAAATTTCTACAAGTTCTTGAATGGAAGTTGCAGCTGTCTGACTGAAGAATGTAGTGCTCCCTACTTGTTGCATAGCTGTATATTTGTTTAACTATGTCAACCTATGCTAAGTCTAATAATGTTGCAAAAGGGTTGTAAAATTTAAAGAAGATATTTTTCCTTTCTAGTTTCAGACATTAATTCAACGTTAATGTTTTTATTTTAGATGAGCTAAAGAGGAGAAATATGAAGTGGAAATCAAAGATAAGATGATGATCATCTCCTATATAGGGAGGTTAAACTCGGGACGAGTTTCGTATAAAATAACGGAGAAGTTGTCTCACTAACTGGTTAAAATCCGTTGATATATATATTTCAAAACTACATCAAAATTCTTCTACATGCACGTTATTTCATTAGGTACCAAAAACGTTGTACGGCAAACTATTTTTTGCCTCCATAGCTTTTCCAACATTAATCTTATATTTTCTAAAATCTTTCAACTTTACCACCGATAATTAAATAGCTAACAAAATGTTGGAACCGGCCCATATGAAGCGAGGGATCACTTTGACAAACTAAACAAATTCAAAGGTTGCAACAAGTTTCACTGCATTCAAAGATTCTTGGCGCACAAACCATATACATATAGAACAAAAATTAAAGAGAAGGGGAAGGGATATTGCTTGAAAGAATCTTGTTTGAGCAGAAGGGTTTAGTTAGAAAACGTTTAAAAGACAGAGATTATGCTAGGAATTCTGAACTACAGGGATAGGTATGGAGCATTTGTGAATCTGAAGTTATTCTTTTCTCTGTATCCCTGGCAAAGTCCATATACGAGGAAGAAAGACTTCAATATAAAAGTTGGAAACGATAGTTGACATGAAGTCTATGAAAGGAATACATTTTAAATGTACCAAGCTTTTCTTGTTTCCAAGGAAAAGCACGGCATATACTTTTCTTTCACTAGCAGAAGTGCTCAAGACATTAACTGTTCTGAGTTTGCTATGGTATAGGTGAGTTTGTGCTTCATTTTGCAACTCATAATAACCATATAATGTTGTTGTGTTTTTTGAGAAGCTGATGAATATGTAACAGGAAAGCCATGGACAAGAGAACTGATCATGTGAAGTGGGAAAAGGTCAAGGGTAGAGGGTTACTAGATTTAGTGTTTTCTTGGTCTATTCAAGATGTGCTCAATGAGGATCTTTACAAAGACCAGGTTTGTTAATTTGCAATAACATTATCTTGGAAAATCATGATCTTATTCCATGTTTTGTTAAGTTCTTCATAGTTTTTTTTAGAAGGAAAAGATAGCTTGAAACTAAATAGAATAAGTTGAAAAACTAAGATGTAGAAGAGTTTCAACTTCTTTTATTAAATTGAAAATTTATTGTTGTTAATGATTAATTATTTGTCATTGATGTTTTATTACTTATCTTTTGGTGGAGATGAATTGATGTTTAAAAAATCTTATTGAAAAATAATTTCCAATAAAGTCTTAACTAAATTAAGTTTAACCATTTTAATTTGTCCCTTGGAACAAATTTTCTAACATGATGTTCTTTTAAGAGCTTTTGGATTTAAATTTCTGTCAAAACCAGTTAGTTTTTCTACTGCAAGATTTTCTTCAAAAGTTCGGCAAATTAAGCTCTTGAAAATTCATACCAAGATTTCCTGCTAGCCAGATTACATGCATGAGAATGATTCTGAACTCTGATATTGTCCCCTAATAGGTGGAGAAGATCCCAAACTCTTTCAAGTCAACAGCTCCTTACATGAAAGCATTCATTCCACCCCTACATGTGGAAACACATGCTGATTTGCTTTCAAGTACAGAATCACTGGCTGAAGCACCAACTTGTAGAATACTGTGTGTTAGAAAATCTAAGGATTATAAGCCACCTAAGGACTTGTTTTACGAAATTTCGGTGGAAGAAACCACAGTTGGATATGTACCTTGGGTCGGGGATCTTATAGCCCTGACATATGTGCAACTGAAGTGCATTGATGATTTAAGGAAGACCCAGCAATGCTTTCGTTCATGCCGTGGAAGGGGGAAATCGTTTGACACCCTCGATTCTGTCTTCGAAGCCCATAGTGGATGAAGAAGGCTTGAACAAGGGAACACTCTTTGCTGTTCATTTGATAAATCTGACGACAAATTTGCGAATATGGAGATCGTTGCACTTGGAACTCGAAGGGAGGAACATGAACGTTATTAAGAAAGTGCTGCAAAAAAATTTCAATGTAAGAACTATGATTCTGGTTTCTTGATTCAGCATCTCATTTTTGTAATCCCAGCTTTGAAGATGGAAAATTTGTTTGTTGTATTCATTTCTTTATTGAGCTTGACTGCATTTATAACTGATCTCATGCAGGATGGTGGAAATTGTTCTATTTGCTCTTCTAGTAAAATTAGTGATGCTGCCTCTGCCTGCATAAGGGATGCATTACAGACTTTTAATTTAAACAGCTCACAAGAAGCTGCGGTTTTAAGCTGTATTCACACAGCCAGATGCTGTCACCATTATTCTGTCAAATTATTAAAGGGTCCTCCAGGAACTGGGAAAACAAAGACAGCTAGTTGCTTATTACACTCACTATTAAGAATGAAATGCAGAACACTTACATGTGCTCCAACTAACATTGCAGTGTTAGAAGTTGCAGCTCGTGTCGTGAGTACAGTTGCCGATGTAGTTGGATATGAAACATATGGCATGGGAGACATAATTCTGTTAGGGAATTGGGAGAGAATGAAGGTTGATGGTGATCAGAATGACCTTCTTCATGTATTTCTTGATCATCGTGCTGATATACTTGCGAAGAGCTTTGATACATCAACTGGCTGGAAACACAGTTTAGCTACATTGATAAGTTTACTTGAAGACTCTGAAGCGCAATACCATTTGTACTTGCAGGATAACATGGGAAAGGAAGGACTTTTGACTTGTGATCGATTCGTATGGGAAAGATTTAATTTCTCCGGAAAGCAATTAAAGTTCTGTATTGTGAATTTGTATACACACTTACCGACTTCTTTGATTTCATTAGAAGTGATGAGGATCATGACCAGGGCTCTTGATTTGATGACATCACTTGAAACCTTGTTGCTTAGTCTCAGTGCTGCCAATGAAGGTTTAAAGCAGATTCCAGGGGAAAATGAAGATGAAGAAAGAAGACTTCATGATCGTATAAAGTTGAGAAATGAAAAAAGGGAATGCCTCAATACTCTACGCTTACTTTCTCTAAAATTTCAGGTTCCAGAATTCGCTGATAAAAATTCTATTGAGAAATTCTGCTTATCAAATGCATGCCTGCTTTTCTGTACCGTGTCAGGCTCTGCCAGGCTGCATAGTATAAGAATGGCACCTCTGCACTGCTTGGTGATTGACGAAGCTGCTCAGCTCAAAGAATGTGAATCAACAATCCCCTTACAACTCTCCGGCCTTCACCATGCTATTCTCATAGGAGATGAACGGCAATTGCCTGCCATCGTTAATAGCAAGGTTTGGATTTTCCTGAATGGTTCTATTCCTCTATCTTTTGATGCCACCAAAACCTTTTACTTTTTCATACCATAACATGTTTAAAATGCACCACTATTAGATTTCAGAGAAGGCTGGTTTTGGTAGAAGTTTGTTTGAGAGGCTCGTAAAGCTGGGATGCAAGAGCCATCTTCTAAACATTCAATATCGAATGCATCCATCAATAAGCTTATTTCCGAATACGGAGTTCTATGGAAGGCAGGTTTTGGATGCGCCGAACGTCAAAGAAACTGGCTACAGGAGACGGTTCCTCCAAGGAAACATGTTCGAATCCTACTCTTTCATAAATATAGCCCATGGAAAAGAGGAAGTTGTTGAGAAACAGAGTTTCAAAAATACAGTCGAGGCTGCTGCTGCTGCTGATATAGTTGGGAGACTTTTCAAAGGTTCTATTTAGAAATATCAGATGTTTCTGATATATCTATAGATTTACAGAATTCTTTTGACTTCATGTTGATGTTACAGATATTAATGGCACTGGGAAGAAGGTTAGCATAGGTATCATATCACCATACCAGGCTCAAGTTCATGCAATTCAAGAGAAGATTGGGAAATTCATTTCAGACTCTGACAGTGCCTTTTCTGTAAGTGTTGGCACGGTTGATGGTTTTCAGGGTGGAGAGGAGGATCTGATAATTATCTCTACTGTTCGAAGCAATGAGAACGGATCGGTGGGTTTTGTTTCGAATCCTCAACGAACAAATGTGGCGCTGACTCGTGCAAGGTACTAAATAAGAATAGAGGAAACATCAGCAGCTCTAAAGTTTCGTTTCCTGTTTTCTTTTTTGTCTCTCCATTCCTATTTGAACTTGTATATTTTCTGGTGTGGAGGTTTTGCCTCTGGATTTTAGGAAATGAAGCAACTTTAGTTAAGAGCGGCTCTATTTGGAAGAAGATAGTCAACGATGCGAAGCATCGGCAATGCTTCTATAACGCTGAAGAGGATGAGAGTTTGGCTCAGGCTATTACAGAAAGCTTGATCGAGCATGGCCGACTTGATGTTCTACTACAAACTCACTCCCCATTGTTCCGGAATGCAAGATGGATGGTAAGCTTATTAGTTCTTAGCAAGTCTTGAATATTTTTTTAAAAAATATTTGATGGAAATTCCGACCGGTGATGTTTTAATAGTTGTCTATTGAAGGTTAAATATATTGATATAATATTTAACGTGATTCGGTAAATAGTCTATATTTACGGGAGAAGTCATTTGATTATATAAGGAGACAACAAGAATTACAACAATAAAAGAAAAAAAAAAGAATCATTTACTCTTTACAATTCTCAACCTTTCTCTTTTCTTTTGTTATAGTAATGCAATGACAACATTATTTATTGTCTTTTAACAGCTCACTCTCTTATATATTTCTCACATATTTGACTCTAAATACTCTTTTATTTTGTTCTTTAACTTATATCTTTATTTATAAATATAAATGGTTAAACAATTCGGTCATAAATTATAACATTAATAGCTGTAGTATATTAATTACATCATTTTATCAGTAGTTGGTGCAATTTATTTGATAACGCCCACATTAATGTCATGCTCCGGTGCCAAGTATTAATTAGCTTTTCTTCTCTTTAATACAGATTTTTTTCAGTGATGATTTCCGGAGATCCATGGCGAGAGTTAGGAATGTCAGAATCTGTAAGGAAGTGCTTTCCCTATTAGCCAAGCTTTCAAATGGTTGGCGTCAGCATCAGTCTCGCAAGAAGAGAAGCCTAATGGTTCACAATGGCATTTCTTTTCCACTGATAGAGCAGTATAATGTCAGTGCACAGCTAAATATGATCTGGACTGTGGACATTCTGCAGGAAAACTCATTCTGCATTCAAGTTTTGAAGGTTTGGGATATTTTACCATCACCTAATATACCAAAACTAGCAACGAGTCTCGACACCTTATTTCGGAATTACACGAAGGAGCAGATGAATCGCTGCTTATACAAATGCATGGAGGGGTAAGTTAACTGCAAGAATTTCATGGTATTTTTCCTTAGGATTCAAAATGTTGCTCATCACTTTTCCATTTCTGCTGCAGGAATTTGATTGTTCCAATGAGATGGACAGTGAACACGTGTAGTGACCGTCAGGGCAGCTGCGGTGGAGCCGATGCTGTGCAGCTGCGGAAATCACTTGCATCACTCTGTCTAGAGGATGAACCAAGCACAGCGGGTAAAGCTGCCAGGTATGCTACAGTTCTAGCTGGTGCCACCTTAGAATTTATCTCTGCCTTAATGGTTTTTGCAGGAAATCGCATCTAACATTAGTTTTTATGCTGACTGTGATCAGAAAACAACGAAGCATCAAAAGGGATTAGCCAAGAACCAGCTTACAACTCCAATCCAAAGAAATAGAAGTTCTTGAAGGGCAAGGACAATGATGCCTCTTTTACATTTCCAGCTTCTAGCCAGAGAATTTCTCTCTTGGCCTTTGAAACTCATGAATGTAACATTACAGTAATTTCTGATATTAGATTTCTTCAACTAATAATATTATTAATAATTACAATAATAAAGTTTTTATTTCTTATGGATGAAGTTCCATTTCCTCATGTGTTCTGGCAACTAATGGCACCATACCACTCATTTTTTTCTTGTAAAAAACATAGTTATTAAAACCCAACTCGGCCTAATAGATTGACCTTGCAAGTTTGAGATTCAAAATCTAACCCAAGTTAGGTTTTATTTGAATAGATAATGAGTTACATTTCAATCATAGTGATATTAACTCGGCTAAACTTAAATAATCCAATATGTTGACCTGTTACTTGATTGATTCGAAGCAACTCGGTCCAAATCCAGTCAAGTCAATATTATGGAATCTTTTTCTTTGAAAAAAAAAAATTAAAACATCATCATTTTGAAAAAATTAATAAATTCAGATTGACATGGTAATTCATGGGTTGACCAGTGATCTACTTGCCGTTGCCCAATTCAGATTAACATGATGATTCATGGGTTGTCCCGTAATCTACTTATCCAGCCCTAAATCAAATCAGACCTGGACAACTATGATCAAAAGTAATTCTTAATTTGAATGAAAGATTATTTCAGCTATTCAGATATGATAATGATGTTATATGTAGAAGCTCAAGCTTTGAAAAACAAAAAAGAGTAGAGAATAAGAGATCACTAACTAATCTTCAAAAATTTATGATTTAAGTAGCATGGAAATCAACCAGCAATTGCACCGTACCAAAAGCTGTGCCTTCTGTCATCTGCCTTACTCTTCTAACTAATCTTCATACCTAGTTTGATGGTAGATTATTGATGCTTATTCTGATGCAAAAGTGTGCAATCTGCATTTACCACCATATTCAGATTTATTTATTTACAATTACCTCCTTTAGCCCTTTGTTTCCCATCACCATCTTTCCATAAGCTCTCCATTCCTCCCCTCCCAAACTAATGGCTTTGCTCCATGGTGATTATTGATTGCCCCAAGATAAAGGAAACTGTGGTTTTATTTACTCTCTTTTGCTCTTCTGAGTCTTAGATTCAACCCCTGAGGACAAAGTATGCCATGCAATGAGCGGCAAATATATTCAATTAGAAAACCCAATTCTATAACTGAAAGGAATAAATAGAAACGAAGACAATCACTTCATGACAATTGACTTGTAGGGACAAGATTTGAATCCAATACTTTAGTAGAAAATTTGAAAGTACAAAAACACTCCCCAAAGTGTTTTTTGTCATGTCCATAATGCCTGTCCCAAAATATTACTATTTTGAAGAGTCAAGCATTAATATTATCATGACTGTCCCAAATTTACCCTATATATGTCGTTCTCTAAGAGTTAAATGCAGAAAGCAATAGCTGCAAATTGGACTTTAATATCCTCAAGAAGACTTCATGGGAGCATATCATATGTGTTCAACTAATGGACGGTGTTTTCCAAGTCTGAACAGGGGCTATCACAATCCAATAAATGCAAAAATAGGAATATACCAGAGATATAACCTCATCATAAACTGGAATTTGGTTGCGCCCGAAATCTAGGGTAGGTAAAAGTAGTCTCCCTTAACATGTACAAATTGATTAAATAGTTGGTGAATCATATTACAGAAGATATATTAACAGATACTCCATAGAGATGATTTTCATTACTAGTGTTAAAGAACTATCTCAACTCAATAGCTTAAACTTTTAGATAAAGTATCAGGATATAATTTATATTATTCTCTGATACACCCTCTCAAGTAAAAGCTCTTTAGATTTGAAACTTGCACAGGTTTACGTTATCTTATACTAAATTTTTTTATAAAATAAATAGGGATGGGTCTACATTACCTTGTGCTAAATTTTTTTATAAAATAAATAAGGATGGTGAGATTCAAACTTGTGGTCGCTTAGTCATCAAAACTCTGATATCATATCAAAGAACTATCTCAATCCAATAGCCTAAACTTTTAGATAAAGTTTCAGAATATAATTTATATTATTCTCTAACAATTGAGTTTCTCAAACATGAGGAAAACCATGATCTCAGAAATGGTCATCTAAAACAGTTCAAGAGTTTGACAAATAACTTCCGCAAAAACATAAGCAACAAGACATCTCATTTTGATTTCATGAAATCAGAAAACTGATCTTTATGTCATAAAGGCCATAAAAATATCATATTTCTGTAATGGTCCATGTATAAAAATTCATAGACCAGGATATCTACAATTTTCTTTTGAGAACATTTGTCAAGTGATGAGGGCATGAAAACATCAGAAACTTACAAGGAATTTCACTTGAATTCTTGGGGGAACAGCTATCTTTAAGATGGAGATGATAAAACATAAAGTCAGGCCAGTTGTAACTGGTTATGATTTATGAATAGGTGGACATTAAAAATAAATGTTGAGGATTTGCACATTTGGAAAGGACAAAAACTAAATTACCATGAAAAAAAATCAGAATAGCTTACATCGGCATCAAAAATAACTTTCCTTCTAGCTTGCTTCATGGACAAACCTCCTTTCTCAACAGCTATTGTTTCTTTCTACTCTTTACTTTTTGAATTTCCTGACAGTGTATTCATCTTTCTTGAAGCTCTCAACATTGCCTCTGCTATATCAAGAGTTGTGCCTGAATTTCTCTTCGGTTTACCTTCAACTGATTTCAACCTTTTGGCTTTGTACCTCACTGAATGTCCAGAGACTGATTTCTGTATCGGTATATTTATCAGATTTGTCACAGAGGCAGTGCTTTTCCTATGTCCAGAATCAATGAGATTAGCATCCAATGTCTCTGTTTCTTCCATGGATGGACTAATGATATTTGCTTCCGCACCTGACCGCATGCTGGAAAACACAGAGTTTTCCACGAGACATTTATCAGATTGATTTAAAATATCAGAATCTCCCCGAGTCGGAGATCTAGAAAGAGACGGCCCTGGTGTAGTATTATTTTCAATGCATCTTAGCATAACCTGAGGGCCTTGAGGCAAAGATGGCATTGAGAAATCACTTCTCTTCAGTCCATCCTGGTTTCCCTCATTTTCCCTTTTCTTTTACTTTGAACTCGAGATCACTTCTAAGGATACAGCCAGTACCACACCTGAAGTTCTAACAGACAGTGTCTGGTCAAAGTTTGATTTAGTGATATTGCCCACATTATAATCCGTGAGTGCTGAGCATTCCCCCGATGCATCATTCTTGAAGCTGATTCTTTCTAAACTACTTGACCTTTTAGCCATCAACTTTCCAAAGGACCTGGTCTTGCTTTTCTTGCTGCCTATCTTTTCAGAAGATAGTGCCACATCCACATGGTGACCAGAAGGTTTTGCTGGTACCACCACACTATCTTTCACCCAACTTACATCATTTACACGACATCTCGATAGTGGTGAAAGATTCTTTGAGTCATCATTCTTCAAATTATTAACACCATCATCTACTGGCAATGATAAGAAAATAGGCCGGCATTCATTTTGAGACACCGGAGGCTCTGCCGCGTTTCACAGTTACTATTCAGAAACTTGGTTCCACATTCTTCCCAATCAGGAGGAAAGCCGAAACAGAAATGCCGAAAGACCTGTTGCAACATACACATTAACCTAACTTAAAGTACGATATGATGTCGAAAAACAAATAATATTAATAAACTCGAAGTAAAATAAGCAAAAAAAAAACCTGAGAGGAAAACCCATTTTCAACAGTGAGTGTCCTGTTGTTAAGTAACCTTGGAGAAGAACATTGACGCCATCAGCTGTCTGAAGAGTGAAGAGTGAAAACATCGTATCATTTGGTAATTGCTGCTGAGTGAAACACACGAACAGGTTTTTTCCTGAAATTTTTAATAATTAAAAAATTATTATTATTTACAAAGAAATCAAAGATTAAAATACGAGAGAAGTGAAGTGACTGTTGAGAAAGAAGAAAGAGAATTAGGAGACATTATTAAAATCGAATTGGGGTTTCTTTTGATCACAATTATTAAAAACGCTGTCGTATAAAGGATAGGTAGACACCGCTTGTTTGTTTTTGCGGTAACGCTTCCGAAAAAAATTAAGTTCTTTTTTGCTTTAATTATTTTTTTATATTTTTATATTTTTTTGATTTGTTAATATTAAAAAATAAAAAATATTTATTATTTTAATATATTTTAAAACAACAAACAATTTAAAAAATAACTATTTAACAATTTCTAAATAAATCACGAGTACCTAAACAAAAAATATTTCTCAACTTGATTTGATTATTAAACCCAATCTAACTGGACTTAAATTTAATTTTAATTTAAATATATTTTATTATTAATCTAATTAAATTTAAGATCTAAGTTAATTCATTAATCTATTAAAATTATT